CAGCCACATCAGCCTCTCATTTAGGTTACATAATAGAATGTTCACTTTGTCTGGTTTTGTTGCAGCATGCCCCATATTGTGAAAAAATCGAGTACGGCTGGATTAAACATGATACTGGTGCATTAAAGCCTTCATGATTCATATTGGTCAATCTTCTAGTATTATCAAACATTTTTAGCTCATGCAGTCAAATGTTCACTTTGTCTATTTGATTTTTCTGAAAATGGCCTTATATTGGTACTGAACCACAAGATAGAGTCTAAGAATACTCTCATCAGTTAATATTACTATAATAGGTTAAATGATAGGCATACCGCATATTTAAAAATTCGCCTTCTCACTCTTTCGCCAACTCATTGACATGTCACAAGAGGAAAAGGAAAAGTCAAGACGCAGTTTCTTAGGCGTGTTTAACAGATCGCGACATCCTAGAAATGACACGCTGGGTAGGGAAGTTGATCCAACCGTCTCTTTGCTCGAACTACCGGATTGTCAGGCTATAATCAATGAACTTCAGAAAGCACCAAACCCGAATGCTCGTGCTAAAATAGTGCAGGATCTGTGCGGTTCGGTTACTAAGTACACGTTTAACGACATGACTGACCTATGGCCGTCTGTTAGGGATTTGTTGGGCGCGGACATGCCGACTGAAGCGAGACACTCGGTATTTCAGCTTATGATATCTTATATACAGGAACAATCTAATGATTCAAGCGTTCTTCGCGCAATGTTTTATGATTCAATTAAAAACCATAATATACGCGAAGACTTTAGAATTAGAATAGCTGCTTTACGTGAGTTATGCAATAATGGTAGAAATATATCCCCATTTGAAAAAAATGTAGGTAAAATGCTTGCTGAATGGCTCATCGAATGTATTAACCGAATGAGCAGTGAATCAACTGCAACAACGTTGGGTGGATCCACGATTACTACGACCACGATTTCTTCTGATTTACCGTCACAAGAAGCAACAGAGTTACAAGATATACTTTCATTGTTGATCAATGTAGTCAAATTCAGCTTTGCTCAATTTGAAGAAAGGGATATCGTCAAGCTAATTGAGAATGTAGCTGAAGTACCGAAACATTCAACAAACGTCTCCGACGTATCGTCTTGTCTTGGCTTCTGGGATGTGGTGGTGCGGTTTGGTTATGTACCTGAGGCATCGGTTAAGTTATATGTAGAAGTTCTCTGTGAATTAATTAATATCGAACAGCTATCACAGACGACTTGGCATGTTATGGATAATTTATTGAAAGGACATTGTGCATATTCGGCCATTAGAGTATTATGTAACAATTTGGAAAATGCAACGGAAATAGACTCCATACGAATGCTACGTGGATGTGTGAAACTGTTGGGTATGGCAATTTCGGGAACAAGTAATGAAGGTATCGTGAGCTCGATGAGCTCAGCCGCACTCTATTCGATGCGCAAGGCTGTTGGCCGTAGAGACATTGGATTACATCACGAGACATTATTACAGATAGTCAACATTCTTTCGAGACCTGACAGAAATATCACTTGTCTTGAATGGGAAGTAGTCATGGACATTATGGAAACAACTCGATACCATGTGGTTGACAGAGGGTCAACTGTGGAAACATCGACAACTACTGCAAATGATAATGAGGTTGAGGCCATAATTGCAACATACAGTCAATTGATATTCCAGATACAGTCACTTCATGCTTCCTCATTATTCAACGGGCCGACTGCTCGTTTTATGTCTCTAATACAGGATCTTCATAGCCGTGTATCAGAGTCTTCTATCATAATGTTATTAAAATACTATGCGGATGAGTATTCTTTTTATCCATCATCGCCAGACTGGTTGATATTATTGGTAGATGTAATTAAAATTTTCTTTATAAATCATTCTTCATCAGCGGTACGCCAACGAGTGCTTGCCATGACCATTGATGTATATGAAGCAACCAAAGATTTTTATTATGAAAAAGTAATTGAGGCAGCTATATTACCGTTGTTAAGAGAATTGCACAAGGAGAATGATATGACAGTGTTCGAAAGTGCTATGGATTTCCTAATCGATGTTATCAAAGAATCAAATGATCAATGGTTTTCACCCTTTCTCAGAATACTTGTTCAGTGCACAGAGTGCTCGTGTCCACAAAACTTACGTCAGCGTTATACTCACATAGACACTTGCAAAGCATTTATATCGACTATCGGTATAATTAATGTCTTTCAGCATACATTATATAAGGACAACACATCTCTGCAAGTCCTAGAAATATTCTCCGAGATGTTAAAGATTTTGGACAATTCATCCGCCTCTGTCAATTCTCGTCTTGCTCTGTTGCAATGCTTACTCAGGTTGCGCGTTAATAGAGATCACCGAATCTATATACTTGAAAGTCTAGGAAGCGTAAGCGGGGCTACAGTATTACATAGAGACAGCACGGTGACAGCAGTGTTTGATAGGATCTTCTCAGCAGCAAATGACAGAATGACAAATTTATCCAATATCGAAAATCAACCAATTGATAGCAACTTGCATAGGAAGACTAGTTGGAGACAAAAGATTACATTATCGTTGTTAGATAGAAGAGTCTACAAAGAAAGCAAACAACCTTCGGAGGATAGTGAGACTAGTAAGCCAACGGATGAACAACGTTTATGGAACGAACCCGAATTACTACCATTTACAGTCACAGCTAATCATCCAAGCCCATATGTTGTATCGCATGATGGCACATCGACGACAAACGGAACTGCAGATAACACGGTATCAGATACAATTACTTCTAACAAGATAGTTATTCCAATTGGAAATTATTTGGAAATTTTAATTAAGATATTGGCAAACGAGAAGGATTGGGAATTATATTCATACGTGCTATGTCATCTGTCATTACAACTGAGCACGAAACATCTCTTTTGCAATGCATATCCTCAAATATTAGCTCTCCGAGAGCTTTTATGCGTATCTATTACCAGCAACCGTTTATACGAAAGCCCCCCATCCGGCGTCGAGAAAGCGAACATATATGTAGTCGCTTACCAAATACTTACTATGTTAATTGGCTATCGTAGTATATTCAATCGAAATCAAAGTGATGGGCTAGTATTAGCATTCAAAGCGGGCCTTCGAAGAGGGTCCGCCTCTGCAAAACCGTGCATACACGCGTTGAATATTTGTTGCTTTGAACTCGCATCATCCATGACTCGAGTCTTGCCTGAAACACTAAATACCTTGGCACAGATAATCACGACAACGACAATGAGTGTACATATTCTTGAATTCCTGTGCGGACTGGCGAGGTTGCCTCAGTTATATGTCAATTTCATTGAAAGTGATTTTAAAAGAGTGTTTGGTATCGCTATTCAGTATATTCAACACAACAAAACTGGAAACGATGCTCAACAAGTAGCGAATCCGTTAGCACAGTACGAAAGAATTATGGCCTATCAAGTGATTTTTGCTTGGTTTACAGCACTTCGACTTTCAGAGCGCCGAAAATACGTGCCATTCATTGTAAGTGGTTTACTAACAGCTGATGAGAAAAGATCAGCCGATAAAAAAACGGACGATAAAAATCACGAAATAGATGAGCAGACGGAGACATGCTTTGACATGCTTGCAAGATATGCATTTGCAAATTGCGACCCGAAACGCGAGAAATCATTTATTAATGAATTGCTTAAAAACTGTGATAAAGACAAGATTACTTCTAAAACTTGGTTACAAGGACACGCATTTGTCACCATGCGAACATTTAAGACACTGGGCTGTGCAGAGATTATTATACGCAGACCGTCCGGGACCGTTACTTTCTTAACTAAATTAGATAACAGAAGTAAGTTTGATGACATTGAATTTGTCTCCTTGCCAGAAACCCTCATGGCAGATAATGGTCTTGAGGAGACAAAAATAGGGCTTGACATTGGCTCAGGGTTGGGTATTCATTCTGTGACAGAAGATAAGTTAATTGTTAATTCTGAAGGAAAGTCTACGAGTGCTAGTATAGTTGATGCTGCAGAAAGATCCCCCGCTACTTCTGGTACTGATACTACGACCACCACTCCCACCACCACCACCACCACCACTAATACCGTTACTTCTGCCGAAAATAGCGATGTTCAACAAAACGCTGCACAAATCGAAAACAGAACTACTTCCATAGAACAATCTCCGGCCATAACGAATACAAGTGTCGAATCTCTCACACCGGATAACCAACTCTCACCCCGCGTCACTCAACACGTACGCACACAAAGCGATGGTAGCCCACTCATGACGGGAGAAAGTAATAGTCCCATTCGTAGAGGTATCCATGCACGCAAGACTTCTGCAGACAAACGCATATATCGCAAAGATGATTCTAATATCGATCCTAGCTTTCTTTTCCTTCAATTATCACCATATCCCGATCTTACTCCGGGCACGGGTCTATGGCTGCTGCCAGATGATGGGCCCACAGAGCGCGCTTTGAATGTATTGGATCGTACGCCTGTCGTTGATTTCCATAAAGTCAGCGTTGTTTATGTTGGTAAAGGTCAAACAACAGAGACTGAGATATTAGCCAATATGCGTGGTTCTCAAAACTATATCAAATTTTTGAACAACCTTGGTAATCTGGTCCGACTTAAGAACAGCAAAGATGTCTATGTTGGAGGCTTAGACACTAGGAACGACTCAGATGGAGAATACGCTTACTATTGGAAAGACGATATAATACAGCTGATATTTCACTGTGCGACGTTGATGCCGACGAACCTAGAAAATGATCCACAATGCTCATCAAAAAAACGTCACATAGGCAACAACTATGTCACCATAGTCTATAATGATTCTGATTTGGACTATGCTTTCAACACCATTCCCAGCCAAGTCAATTCAATCAATATTATAATCTCTCCTCACTCCGAAAATCCAATCAGACCCGGCACATCACCTTACGTGGGCATAAACTCTCAAACTACGTTCTTCAAAGTGCTCATGCAACGACGTCATGATATGCCGGAAATAGGTCCCATATCGGATTTCAAGATGATATCTGGTGACGCATTACCAGCCTTTGTACGTCAGATAGCAATGCATGCAAATATATATGCTCATATTTTCCGTGAAACTTCTCGTGGGATTGAATATTTGTCTCATTGGAGAGATAGGCTGAGGCAGATTAAGAACTTCAAAAAACGGTTGATGCCGGCAGTAAGCGAGCCTGTGATAGGTACACCTGGTAAAGGTAGTGCTGTTAATACAAGGGCCGATGATCATGTTGGTGAGCAGGTTGTTGGGCTGGAACCGGTTATTAACTTTACACGGTATACATGAACTATTACATAAGTAGATAAATAAATATAGTACTCTTCTTGTATAAAACTTGTATAATTTAAATCATGTATTTGGGCACAGACTAAAATATGAGTCTAACCTAGAGTCGGGTCACGGTGGCATTGCTATGCATTACGATCATTTTTGCATCAGGCGTAGACAAGACTATGTAATTTTGTGTGGATCTTCGAAAACGTCAATTTCCACCATAGCACTGATTTTGGCTTAAATAACCCAGTGGCTTATAATCGGAAGGATGCTGTATGAGACTGATGTGGTTGACATAACAGTGTAACTCTAATTCTGTATGACTTGTTTAGCTCATCTTCAGTTTCAAAAGAAAATAAATCACAAGTGCCAGGATGATGTAATTCATGCTAAAATAAGGATAGCAATCCGCAATTTTATGCATAGATTGTTAAATGGCAAATTTAACAATTCCATCAATAACGCGTTCTAAAAAAAAGCTTACCTTCACAAGGAATATTAATTGGTTTCACATTGCCAAATGGGATGATGGTGCCGCCGTTTAAGCAATTTTCATCATAGGGATTGGATGATTTGACAGGCTCGGAGAATAACAAATTTATATGAAGGGGAATTATCTGCTTGTAAGACAGCCCTCGATTTTACTTAATCACTACTGTATTGGATGCAAAAGATTATTTCGAACAGTTAAACGCGTTTTTGCTTCAAGTGTCTTGGTTTCAAGATTTGTGATAGTCTGTTTACAATATAGTTTATTGATTAAAGCCACCGATTGAGAACCCAAATCTCAAAAGCATGATCTGCCTTGTAATGTATTGTATTTAAGATTACAGAGCGAACACCTCATTACAATATAATATTCCCAGCAATGGAGGACCACACATCATTGAAAACCAAAAGAATGCATTTCCTAGCCATCTGCTTTCTTTAACCGCAGGCAGATTGCCCACCCAAATCAATGGCAGTTGGAACATTTGCAGCAGAAACATGTACATTCTAATCTTCTTGCTCACAACAATCATCACCAATTCATGAACGAGAGAGGAAAGGAGGAACGTCATCAAAGAAGCATCTCGGCGGGAGAGTTTGTACGAGTCAATTGACCACTGGTATACATGACGAAGGAGGAAATGATGGACCGGTCTATTCCATTTACGAGCAAACTCTTCGAAAGTTGTACTGAATGTAACGACGTGTAGCCGTGGTTAATATGCGCCAGCAATTGGTGTATTTCTCACAATGCAATAAATAAATTGCGATGTACTTACCTATTCCACCAATCATCGTAGAAATGACGGTCGGCGAAACTGCATGAACGAACGACAGTTTAGTAAAAATTGCATGCAACATCTCGATACATCAAATACAGTAAAATAAACCGTTACCGTGTCAACTCGGCGAACACATTGCAAATGCACTCGAATATAATATAAAATATCAATAAATAGTTCACCATGAACGGAATAGACATCTGTAACAAAGCCCTCCAGAATGAACCCGACGAATTTGGAAGCACAGGTATAATGTAGGTCTCGGTATTCATATACAGAAGGAAAAAGATTCCGAGGGTAGCTAACGCTTTCTCAAACACATATCGAGGACGGATTTTTTCCGTACGCGGATATTCCAACTCGTAGACAAGAGTAGGAACTAGTAAATAATCTAAAAAGTTGGCAAAGGTGAGATTATCAGGATAACTTGTGTTTCCAGATGTACTCTTTATGATATTCTCGATTTCCTCGATCCATGCACGTAATCTGCTCAGACGCTGCTGCCTGATCTTTTCTTTCTCATCATCGCCGTCTTCTGATTTCTTGGTCTCTCCCACTAGCTGAGAGTACTCCTTTCTCAGTACGCGCAATCGATGTGCAAAGGCTGACATGTCACCATTGTAATATGCATAAGAGTGAATCTTCATCAGCATTGCTATTGTATGTAGAACAAAAAATCCGCTCTGTACCCACGGCCATCCTCTGTAATATGTCCAATAGGCGGCACTAAAAAGAAACGTCACTTGGTAAAGATGCTGAATAGCCATTCCGGTGTAACGCCATTCTATCCATCCTCGTGCGATCATCTTTTGCAATATGACATCAAAAAATGTAGCCCCAACCATACAAGCATCGCTTAATGCTAACACAATAGCGTCTTTTGAGAATAACTCAAAGAATGATAAATCAACTATTGTTCCTAACGACTCTAGATTGTGTACGATTGTTTGTATAACGTAGACTGCCATTGCCAACCAGAATAAGACAAAGAATCCTCTTAATGGATTCTTTGATGCATCCATGGTTTCTCTATCTAGATGAGATGTTCTTGGTTTGAAGGTGACAAATCGGTTTGGGAATGTTTTTGATAGTGTTGCATATAAATTATCCTCTGGTACAGTTGCGGTTATAGTGGCTGTTATCATCGTGGTTAATGAATTTTTTCGGAGAGGGTGGAGTTTTGTGTCAGAGGATTTATTAGCGGCATCGATCTAGAAAATACGGAAATTTATGAATCTCGATATGTCATGGCCTGACCTTTTTTTTTCCCACAAGTTTTTTAGACTCACTAACCTGCGGAGACTTGATTTCAACCAGCATGTCTATATTCCAGTTTATCTAATAGAACGTTTGAGTTAGTTTTCACCCTTCGTTTTGAATATGAAATATGCCTCTAGTTTTGACGTGTGTTATGGATTTTATTCAGAGTCAATACGACCGAATTGTTATCGGAAAAATGTTGGTAGAGAGGCAAAAGGAGTAAACACGTGTAGATAAAAACTAAACCAGAAATAAAGTCCGTTTAATAGTGATTAAGAAACGGTGTTCCTCTGTATGTAATTGGTATTCTCAATTCGTTCTTTACTGGAAATAATTAATAATAAAAAGAATGTATGAAATTCCGACAGATAGTAATCTGCTCGGATATTGTCAATAAATAAAAAGAAACAACAAGAATTAATCGGTTTTTCGCAACCCTTTAAAAAGTGTATATTAATATCAGGCTATGCTCAAGTGGTTGACCGTATTTATGTTTACAGAGACACAAGACAAGGGGTTGTCAATACACAAGTGAGACAATAGACCCACCTACTTGGTTTTGTCGTCTCGCTAAAGTCAACATTTGCATTGCTTTTATAGTTTCGACGTTGGAATCATTTGCAAATAAGAAGTTGTGTCCAGGGCCGACTTTTACGACGGACGGTGCATAGAACAGCCGATGGAAAAAAGGGGTCAATTAATTTAGTCTATAAGGGATCAATATTGACGAAATGATCGTCAGTCATCCTTGGTGAACAGCAAGAAAAAAGTGAAATTGATCCGCATGTTACATCTCAGACCGCAGCTTATACATAATAATAAGCATGGTCATATGCAAGGGTTAAACCCCCCTCGATTTTGCTTAATATGTCTTATTTTTCCAAGCCTCGAAATCTGAGATACGCAAGGCGTATAGACAAGGAGCCAACAACATGACGACAAGTAAACACTGTGGCTCTATGCCGTATTAGTATTAGTATGGGTAGTTTAATAATATATCATGTGATATACTCTAATATGTCAATCGATTAATATATAGTTAGTATTAGTATTAGTGCTCAATCATACTTAAAGCTAATAGTTAATTCGTTACTAGACTGCCCAATATTATTGATGGTTTAAACTGTCTGTTCTGTTTAACATTTTCGTAATTACAACATCAACCCTCCCCCTCCCCACGAGATCATTTTATTGTAATATCTTACTACATTCGTTAATCCTTCCTCTTCTTAGCTCTTGAGCTTCTTCACCACAAACTTGACAATGTGAAGTTACGGTGACAACGTATATTGGTACAATCGCTAAAATTTAGGAGAAATGGACAGCGCGCTCGATAAAAATAGAAAAAACTTAGATATCGTTATTGTAAATTAACTTGTAAATGATGCTATTACTATAAATTTATAATACAATTTTTATTATTAATTATTGTGGCAGATTAAAACGAAATCGAATTAAAATAAAATTTGGGGTCTTCTAGGTCCTCATTTAATGTCTCTGAAACCCACATACAGATAAAACCCACTAAGTGCACGCCGTTGGGACCAGACCATCGTGTGCATTTATGGGGTGTGCATTTAGATTATAGCACTATTGATTCACACAAACTTTTTGGTACCATATATAACCATAATATCAAAATCTAGGTTAATTACTATGTTGGATGCGGGATCACGAGGCACGGCAAATCTGACAAGGGAGGTTAATTAGTCTAAATAACAAAAATGGAATAGCAAAGAGGCACGAAGTAAATTATTAGGTTAGAGGTGGATCACGGGTCTGAAAAGGAGGTTAATAAATTTATCCGCCGCGTTATTCCGTCATATACCGCTTTCCCATAATAATAGTAGTAGTAATAATAATAATAATAATTCGGATTATTATCACGGTTATTTATGTTAATTTTTAGGTATGACCAATAATAAACTTGTATTTCTGGATTAAAAAATCCGAACGGTATTATTATAATTACTCAAAGGTTTGCAGATCACGGTAACCGATGAATACTCGATTATCGAAACGATAATAATTGTGAGGGCTGAAGCTGAAGCAGGCTGACCTTGAGAAATATTTATGCCGGATTGGATGCTCGAAGATAAATTACACGAGTCACGCACCAGTAATCAATAAATCATTAACAAGCGTATTTATTGATCAATCAAATGAGCCATTGGCTCTCTATTTTAATACGAAATTTTAAATTTTTTGGGGGTTAGGATTTAGGGTAATAGAAGAGTAGATTAATATGTGGGTTTCAGAGGCGTTAAAAAAGGCTACCAAATTCCATTTTATATAATAACAGTAATAGTAAAAAGATACTCGTTAATGGCTTTGGGTCGAGCAGCCCATGCAATCGCTCTGGCTATTTACAGTAGGATGCAAAAGTATCCCCCCACTTCTAATTCGGGACACAAATGAGTAAATGCTTTGAAAGTTTCCCTGTATATAGTGTATAATAAACCCTGAT